AACTCGAACTGAATCTCCAGCTGCACCCGCGTCTGCACACTTCCCCCTGGCACCGGCACCAACTCCCACTTCGTACTCAAATACTCAAAAATCCCCTCATTCGCCCCGGGGAATATTCCCCCCTCCTGCCCATCCTTCGAATCCACGCCGAACTTGGCCCCGCTGCGCGCATCGACAGTCCAATTGTCCCGATTGCAGTCCACGCGCGAAGTGAAGGTTTCGCTGAGGGGCCCGTAGCCGACTGTTAGGAAGGCGCGCGTCGGGTACCCCGTTTCCGGGTCGCGGTGGGTGACGGTCGAGGCTGTGAGGAAGGGGAGGAATTGCGAGTAGGATTCGACCGAGGAGATGACTTTGAAGAGCGCGCTGGGCGGGTAGGGGAGGGTGCGGGCGGCGGTTAGGACGCGGCTTTTGTTGTTGTCATTACTGTTGCCGTTACCCGGGGGGAAGAGGGAGGAGAGCGAGGAGAGGTTGAAGGATCGGCGGGTTGTGGTTGTGAGTGGTGTTGAGCGAGGGTTTGGAGTTGGTGTTCGTTGCTGATGCGAAATGCGTGGGACGAGTGCTGGCGAGGTCGGCGCACGGAGAATGGTGATGTTTGTTCCGCGACAAATGCGTCGTAGTGGTAAGGATGGTTTCATTCTGTGTGTGAGGACTTGCGTAGATGTGGATGCCTCTGCTGCAGACGTGAGATAGGGCAATTGACTGCTCCGTACTCCGTACTTTTTTCTTTGCTGCAGGATCCACGCGGGACGTGCCGAACGGCGTAGTTTACTTGTATAGCGACGTCATGGCCATTGAGCACAGAAGACACGAGTCTTGTTTCTTAATACTTTCTTGTATCATTGTTAAATATCGGATCTGATTGAATGAATCACATATAAACCTGAACCTTTGTCGTATCCCGAGTTATATATGTAGGAAATGCTTATATATATGGCACCCAACCCAGAAATGCGCCAGTTAACACATGTAGCAGATCAGCACCATCACTAGAAAATTTATACACAATCAATCAAAAGTAGCTATCATTAATTTCTCTACAGAGGCCAATAAGCAGATCTTATGTCCCCAGGCCAGGATACCAAAAAGTGCGCGCGTTTTCGTCTTCAAAGCCTCGGATTTGCTGGTCCCAAAGACGCTGAGGAAGGTTAGCAAACCTGGAACGAAACAGCCTCAATGTTCTTACCCAGTCGAGGTTGGTCGGCGCGTCAAGCATTTCTTCGATCACATCTAGCGAGGTAAATGGCGATTGCATTGCATTGGTCTGGTCGTGGGCAAGCACGGACGAGGGATCTTGCTGATTATAGCATCCGTCATACGGGGGTGGTGAAACTACAGTCCGATGATTTAGTATCTTGCACAAGCGATCAAGCTGTCATCTTACCATCACTCGTTGTATTGAATTCTTGACCACTTGAGCCACTGGTTGAGTCTACTGCATGTTGCGCGCTTTTCTTGACACAACGAAGCATGATTGACATCGCAGCATATGCTTTTTGTGCATCCGCCGATCGCCGGCGCATGTCCTTGAAAATCTGATGGGTTGTCTCCAGGGCTGATAGAAGGTCTTCACGGCCTTTGATGATCACTGTCACGTCGTTACATTGACTGTTCGTTCCTGGCTCCGTGGGATGGCCAGGGGAGAGTTCGAGGCAGATAATCATGGCTGCTAGTAGGTAGTCTGTGTTTTGTATAGAATTCGGGAATCGCTTTTCGCGGTACAGCTGGCCTCCAGGCTGAGTTTCATGGTGCAGAACTGCTTGGTGTCGAAGGATCTGTTTCGCTGCGGTCATACAGACCCAGCGAGAATACGTATATCGCATATTGTCGTGGAATTCCGCCAGGTACCTCCGGTGTAAAACGCAGCGGCACTTCTGATACAGGATCTCCAGTGTGACACGCTTGAGGATTAGGTCAGATGGGTCGGTGATTGACTGCTCCATGGGCCTAATCCGTAGGATCGACGGAATCTGATCGTGTGCTTCTTCAAGATGTCGATCAATTTCGAGCGTTTGCTCGTAGGTCACCGGTTCCCGTGAGTATGCAAGATCTGATATTCGTCCAAAGACAGACATGATTCTTTCCTTGGCCCTGGTATAGCACAGCGGAGTGCGCTCGGTTTCTGGCCGAGAAGGTGGGAGTTCTTTCGTATTCTCATCGTAATCTTCATCAAACAAATTCCGTGGCAGCTCCACGTCGTGTTGCCAGGCCTGGATTGTCCGAGGTAGTCCAACTTGGAATGAAATCAGGGTGTCGAGTTGGCTCACAACAGTCCATAGACGTCGTCTCATTTCCCCTTCAAACGCTGACATTTTAGGGAAATTTCGGGGATCGCGATGGTACCCCATCCGCATGGCAAGCCTTATAGTGAGTCCGAGCATGAACGAGACTCCGGCTTGGGCATCACAACTTGTGAGGAATTCTCCCATTGTATACAGAAAGAGTGCCTCAACTTTGTATCTGCCGGGAGTTATATAGTTTGCTTGGACCAAACATTGTACAGTACGTTTGCGGAATCTGGTCGTGGCGACCAAGTGGTCCCCCAGGGATTGGGGTACTGGTTCCTCTATCGTATTCAAAACTGATACTGCCAATGTAAAAATAGCATATAGCAGACCGAGCCATTGGAGAGACACTCCCTGTGGATTTAGCCAGAATTGGTTATACTATGTTCTGTCAGTCATCTGTGAGCGATTGATCTTTGATTAACTGACCTCCTTCTGGAATGTTGGGAAATGGAGAACGACTTGTAATGTCAGTACCTGCGTAGAGTTTCGTACGACAGGGCATGCGTACCTAATAGTGGCTCTTTAGAATGGAGGAACTGTGAAACAAGTCTATCTGCTACTGGTCGTGGAGGAATATCGGCGAGAAGTTCCTCCTTGCTCGCAGGCTTGTTCAAGCCGAGTAGAAGAGCCGGCGATGAAGAGTCGAAAAAGTCGTCATCCATAATTTCTTCCTCTGATTCTTCGTCCGTTTCTTGTTGGAGGTATCCCTTGACCTCGTTTACCTTGCAGCATGTTCGTTAATACACGGACATGCAATGGAGGCAGGTTGCCTTACCTCCTCGAGTATAGCACGCCAGTGAGCGCCATCGAAATAGCTCGACCCTGCTTCATTTTCCAGGAGTCTACCAGTGCTTTCAGGCGCGGTGCCTCTCCATTCAGGTTCCATGCTTGAAGGGGGATTCTGCAGCACCGCTGGAACAACACTCCCTGCTGTTCTAGACGGGGTATTCTGCTGCTCTGACGCACTGGAGGCTTGGCTTTGTTCGCATGACTTCTTCTGAGTAAATGACAAGATCAGGTTCTCAAGATGTTGCAGGCGTTCTTGCACAAGGGTCGGGCTTGTTCGACCCTGCGATGACCTTCCTCGAGGGCCTCGGCCAACAAAGGTGCAGGATGCAGCCTCCCCTCTTTTCTTGCAGTTGGTACATGGATATGTCCGACAACATTTAAGCCTAAGTAGACATGCATCAGCACAAAAATCTATGGCTGCAGCGCAAAAGACGTACTTCCGGCTTCTACAGGTAGTGCATGACAGTTGGACTCGGCTCCTCTTCTTCTCCTTGGTCGCCATGCTCGGGTTCTGAACGTTCTGGACGTGGGGTCCTGTCGTCAAGTCGGTCATCCTGGATGAGGAACTACATCAAATATAAAGATGTGATAAAGGATTCTGTCATTGACGTGAGATGGAATACATGTTGCCTGGCTGAACAATGAACACAAGGGAAAGGGAAGATGGTCAGATGGCTTCCCGGTCTCCGGACTTATCTCCGCGCCAACTGGGAACATCTCTGATTTCAACATCGACTCGTTTGCCAACTATCAGCACTTTTCTCCAATGGTGTTTCCGCAGGCCTACCACTACCAGAAGTCCTACTCGACAGCTAAGGCAATCTTCACAGTTTCCGATCCGCCGCTCTGGTCCCCCTTCCCCTGTCTTTGAGTTGTCTAAGACCTAACAATATATCCGGCGGCCAGACCGGTTAGGTACTGTTGATCTCACCAGTATTAAACCTTTCTTTTTCAACACGGTGTCACTTTTCTAAAGAGAAGAGCTGGGTTTCCCACTATGATGCGCCATATCAGGACGGGACTCAAACTGAAATGCAATGCCAGAGGTGCATACGAGCCCCTGAAGAAGGCTGGGTGGGAGATTGCTACATAGCTTGATCCGTCATCCGAAACTGCAGTCTTCGAAATCCTAAATCAGATTTCCAACCGCGTCCGTGGAATATTCTGATAGGCTTGTTGGTGTCCTTCGTCTGCATCTGCAGCCAAATGTCATTATCACTAAATCCTGGCAAGCAACAAACGTGCAGCTTCCAAGAACTCGGTTTAAAAACGCAAGGGCCAAGACTCGAAAGCAAAGATACAAGGCCTGTCTCACGAGGCGTCAAAGGTATCCGAGAATCAAAGTCTAGGATGGGATCCCGTGCGTGGCGCTCAAGGTGTTCGTCAGCAGACAGACGTCTGAGTGGCGTCTCATCTATATACGGTGCTCTTGTCTGAGATGCGCGGGATTAGTTCTCCCTTCCTCGAACGCTTGTAAGCCCACAGATGTCCTCAACATGCGCACAGACCAGCCAAATAAGACACACAGAGGGAATAATCTCTCGTCGAATTGAGATTGCCGAAACTCGCCGTCGGCTTGACTCTCCGCGATGAGGTTACCAACGGCAAGCACAGATAAATTGTCTCGGAACAGAGACCTTGACCAGGAACACGACTCTTCCTTCTGCACAGACTGAAGTACAAACTCGCAGACTTCCGAGGCAAATGACTTTCTGGGCTAATAGTGGCCGTGGCGCTGAGACTCTTTCAATACACGATCCGAGCACCAGGTTGCCGGGACGGACCATCAGGCAGACTTGTAGATATAAGGAGGAAGTCCCGAAGAACGAGATATTTCTGTTGCATTCATCTCGTCGACCTCGACACTCGAGAGGAGATAATTATCGACTTCAGATAACGGCCGCTAAGCATTCAATGCACCCTACAATGAAAGCAAATACCTGCATTCAAGAAGTTATGGGTCGTAACCTGGTCCTAACCAACGCAACCCCCGAATACGACTCTTTGCCATGCTCGAAATACACCACACCCAAAACTGGGGTCTTTGCTATATTGCCACAGAGCTGGATCCCATATGCCGAACTCATGCGACTAGATCGTCCCGCAGGCTACTGGGCCTTTTACTGGCACTTCGCCATTGGCCTTGCCTTGGCAGCCAGCATTGCTTCTCCGATTCTGTCGCCGCTGACTCTCATCTCTCTGTTTGTCTTCTTTGCAGTCTGGGTCATTGTACTGCGCGGAGCAGTCTGTACCTGGAACGACACTCTGGACCAGGATTTCGACCGCAAGGTGACTAGAACCCGAAATCGTCCCATTCCACGGGGCGCCGTCTCCACGGTCCAGAGCCATCTCTTCACGCTCGCCCAGATAGCCGTTGGAACGGCGCTGCTCCTTCCTTTGCCGCGGGGTTGCATGTATCATGCTGCACTCATGACCGCTATCCTGCTGGTGTATCCTCTAGGGAAGCGAGTCACGGATTTCCCGCAGGTCATATTGGGGATTGCGTTCGGCATGCCTATCTTCCTTTGCGGTGCGGCTCTAGATGCCGATCCTCTTCCACTGTCGGGCTTGCATCGTTTTGAAACTGAGGCACATGATCTGCGCCTGGTTGCTGGGGTGTGTTTCTACATAGCAAGTATCCTGTGGACGGTCATTTTCGACACTATCTACGCACACCAGGATGCCAAAGACGATGCCAAGGTGGGCGTCCGGTCGTTGGCTGTTCGCCTTGGTGACCGCACGAAGCAGGCATTGTCTGTTCTCGCGGCAGCACAGGTGATGTTGCTGTTTGCTGCGGGTGTGGCATGCAATTTCTCGGCAATCTATTTTGCAGGCAGCTGCATCGGAACAGCAGTCTCTTTGGCTGCTTTGCTATGGTTTGTGGATCTGCGGCACTCGGCGAGCTGCGGGTGGTGGTTTTTTCCGGGCTCTCACCTTGTAGGTGCGAGTATAGTCGCTGGGCTGCTGGGGGAGTATTGCTTCAGGTCTTAGAGACTCGCTCATTCTAGTTCTCGTTGACTAATCACGAGGAATGGCCGTCAGTAGTCTGAGTGGGTTTGGCTGTTGGTATATTTACCATATTAGGTTGTGACATATTTTGCAAAGCTACGCTCGATAGAATACAAGGAGACGCTCGCCAGTCAGCTAAATCTACATGCGACATTATGCCACGGTGGACTCCTTCATCAACATTGCCTGTCATTTTCACCTGTCAGAAGATTATACAGCACTCTGAGGCTCTTGTATAGTCTCAATCTCTCTTTCCCCTGCAGCAGTGGTGTTGAATTGCTTTGTTGTTGATGTTGTGGTCGTCTGAACTTCCGGGTCAAAAGACCATAATGACCTGCTCGTGCTTGTGCTCTTTGGCGTGTGCTTAACTTGAGTTGAGCCAGATTGAAGTCTCGCTTGATAGACATGTCGCATCCGGTAATTTTCGAACCAGTTTCCGTGGCACTCCGAATTATTTTCGCTGAATCGTCTTACGATGTACCGATCCCATAGCGGTTTCAAAGCAGGCACGCTGCCACAGGTGATGATAACAAAGATTTCAGATAAGGCCCAGACTGTTACGGAGTATAGACCCCCTGTTACTTTGAGGTTAGCGCTGCGAGGCATCCGTTAGAAGAAAGGTACTTCGTACATGTGAAGTCGGGGTTATTGCTGATGGAGTCCAGCTCGATGGTCTTGACAATGCCACATATTGTAGCCCTATGATGCATACCAATCAGCGTCTATCCGAAACAAATGCAACTAACCAAGGAATAATTCTCACATTGAGCCGAGTCCCAAGAGAATCGTCAAGTTGATTTTCTTTTTGCGACTGATGTTCATAGTTAAAAGAAATGTGGCCGGTATGATGGCCAGCCCCGCGTCTGCCGCGATATTCTCGCCTATCCTTTAAATCAGCGCATCATTCTCGTCTTGCGAATGACTTGTTCATGACCGTACTGCACATGAAATAAGCAAACTTGAGCTGTGTCCTCCTTTTCCAGCAGTTGGCTGAAATCCTTGGGTCCCAGTTGCCCTGCACCGGGTTGCACTGGACGAAGTTGAATATACAATTCAACACATTGACGAGCGTAGTGAATATGATGAGGACCCAAACCACCCATTTCTGCCACAAGCACTGCGGTCCGATCAAACGCAGAATGAATGCGCCGATGGATGCTTTGCCTGTAGCGTACCCTATAATATGAACACCGCGCAGGATGAAATTCAACTCCAGCGCTCGCACGACGGCATTCTCGTCCAGATAGTACACATGTCGGTAGCCTCCGACACTATCTTGGAGGGTAGCAATGATAATTGACCCGATGAATATTGCCTGTTCCCTCTATCAGCTCTCATCGTCCAATGGGATTTAGTCGGTGGTTCTGTACCAGCGTCAGAAACATCAGCCAGTCATCCCAACCGGTGGTGTGTATCATGAAGCGAGCATATAATCTCAGGAATACAATGACTGTTGCTATCCCTGCCTGCGCCCACAAGACACCCATCACCAAGGGCCCCCGGTCACCATCTCCTGGGGGTCGCCCGCCTTGTCCTGTCTCTAACATGAGGACAGTCGAACTTTCCGCGACTCATTCGTGGATATCCTTCAGCTGTGTGGACGATGAATTACGTGATCGGTGTGTGCGATAACGTTGTACCTGGAATATATGTTTGTATACAGTGCGTGAGGAGTTGGAAGCAACATCTTTCCCTCGTACAGATGGTCAACGTCGATGCTACCTTGAGCAGCCAAAGTCAGCCTTAGCTAGTCCATAAGTTCCTTATTGATAAAGTTCAACAAACCTGGACTCCTATGTGCCTCATGTTGAAAGAGCACATATGACTCTGATTCTGATTGACTCAAAAAGGATGATCCCTGGTCAAGGGCTGATCTCCCGATAGGCCATAGCGAGAAAAGATGTCAAGGCGTCAACTGACTGGCAAACGGGAACAAAGGCTGTAAGAATTGTATTCCAGTTTCTATGGCTGTATCCATGTCATGGACATAGTCAAGTGGTGATTTCGCGGATCCCATCAGCTGTTCCATGGGAAGGATGGAGGAACTAACAAAGAGTAATCGAAAAACAGCGACAAAGAAATGGCTGATGTTAGCTGATCTTGGTTTTCGCAACTTTCTTTATCCCTATCACGGTATCATCGCTCCCTCGCATTTAAGCTTTCTTTGTCCCTGCTTCCGCCGGCCAAATCATCACCTCGCGCTCGGTCATTGCTCTCGCTCAATGTGGATTCTGAGAGGAGCTTATTCGTCATCCTTTGCTCTAATTTATTCTGGATATCGAATCCTAGGAGACCTATCACTGAAAGAGACTCTTCTCAGGTCTCATGGACCATCTAGACCAGCGCTATCCCTTTGCTTTTGAGATGACCTACAATGACGGAAACAACTTACACCAATTCTTTAAGGCTATCAATGCCACTGCACATCATATACTGCTCGACAAATATCCGAAACATACCAAAGATCCTAGGAGCAACGACCTGGTTGGCTTCAAGTCGTTTATTGTGAAGCGGGGTTAGAAGTATACCAAAGATTCAGTGTTCCATCAACCTTTTCAGGATTTGAAATGTTTAACCTTGGTTGCGACAACCCCCTTCCGGCTCGGGCCATCCTACAGCGTACGGTCATCGAGGTTGCACCTACAATTGGCAGAAAAACATCCCTCTAACACCATCATATGACGGGGATATTTCAGTCTCACGTGCGGGTAAGAAAGCAAGTCTCTCATCTATACTGGATTCTATGTGGTATTTCCGAGACTTATGGGCACATCGCAGGGCCTGCTCCAGATGGTATGGTCCTCTTGGGTGGGCGCCTTGGGTTCTTTGACTGCTATCAAAGCCAGTTAGTGCTCATCAAGCAGGAAATGTACATTTTGGCAAGTTCTGGATCGAAGTTTGCTGACAGACTTGAAAGTAGCAGGTCCATTCCACGACTCCAATGCACTTTAACAGAGCGTCTTTACAGTAACGATCGCTTAAAGTGACCTAGTGCCTGATATTTCATAAGCACCAATCGGTAGGATACCTGGAGTGCTCAGTGCGATAACCTGTAGGGCCTCAAGAGGTACTCAAGGACATGATCCTCCATCTGCTGAAGCTCGCGCCAGAGCTCAGCCATTCCTGGGTCAAGTCTCCTCTAGTGCCACACACTGCAATATAAGCGATCCTTGGCCAGTAGTAGCCTCTGTATCGCAGATATTCACAGGGCAATTGATCAGCTTGGCGTTTTAGCTCTTGATCTCCGCCTTCATGGCCACTGTCATTCCATCAGGACCAATGACTTGCGCCTTGGCAACACCATCCTCATCCTCAAGGACAATCCGATATTCCTCTTCAGCATACAAAGGACTCGTCGCCCGGTAGGAGATACTCTGGGGAAGTATGAGCTCGGGACCTTCGCTGGTGAGCGTTGAAGTCCTCGTGTCGCGCCAGAGATCCAGAATGTTGATGAGGTTCAGTGGGCCATGGACGACAATATCCCTGTGGCCCTCTACGTCGCGAGCCCAAGGAAGTGAATAATGAATTTTATGTGGGTTGAACGTCAGCGCTGAAAACCGGAACAGAGTGACGGCCGTTTGCTTCATTGTCCGTGTATGGACGTTGCCTGTTGTGGAAGTCTTTGAAAAGGCCGGCCCAGAGGGTGTGATCGGGTCTAGTAGATTCGTTGATACTGATGATGATGGCGTTGAGAGAGCTTTGCGAAAGACCCAGTTCCTGGTACTGTTAGTAGAGTTCAAGAACAACACCGGTGGTCATCGTCCTCACCTTCTGTCCAACACAGCTACGCCAAGCTCATTTCGAAACTCCTTCTCCACCCCTACGACAATCATTTCCTCCCCCGTTCTGCGGACAATTTTAGGTTCCGCACTCAGGACCCTCGTCGTTTCCTGGATCTCTTGGCCTACTCTCAACGGATTAGGCATTCCCTCTGGACCGCGTGGCCATTGTACTTCGCCGCCAGCCCACATACGCCGAGTAAACGGTGTCTCGGGGTTGTACGAGACATCGGTGCCATCGGCGCCTAATTCACTCTCCAAGAAAGCTGGAGTGAAATAAACCAAATGATATCCCGCAGGCAGGGGAGTACCTTGCTGCAATGACGCCGAAGCGTTGGTGAGCACTGGTGAGTTGGGGTATAGAGTCGGCCGGTTTAGAGTGAGGGACAAGAGTTGGAGCTGGTTGGAATCAAGAACCTGAGTACGAGTCTGAGGTCCCAGGGAATCAAACCGAGCAAGAAATGAAGCGGCAATGAATGAGGCAGAATCTGATTGTGAGCACAGCAGACCATGCGTTGAGAATTGGCGCGGAGAGGGAGTATATCCTTTTGAGAGGAAACGGCCAGACTGGCAGACCAAACGAGTTTTTACTGACATTTCTGCAATATAGCTGTCTCTACAGGGGTATCAAAAGGATATGCCCGGTTTATGAGGTCATTGGCAAAGAATCAACATAAATATAAGCGAGCGAGCTGCGAGCAATAGCCGAGAAGCCGTCTCCAAACGTGGGGAGAAGAAAGCGGACCTCGGGTGCTTCCCCGAGATCAGTCTCGGTCTCGGAATCTGCTGGTCGGGCACTTTCCGAGTCACCGCAACCATTGCTTGCTCAATCCTCAAGGATCATCACCAACTGATTTTCTTCCGCCCAATGGAAATCTCCCAGCAGTATGGGACCAATACCTGGCTCAGGTCTCATAGACTTGATCTCGATTGGATGCAGGGTCTTGATTTTCCAGTCAGATCGTTCCATTGAGAGCGACTCTGAGGTGATCATGATGATCAGTTACTAGGTTGGGAGGATGTGACGCGTAACGCGGAATGGCAGATACGAATACAATGGGCAGGGTGCCTACTTAAAAGCTCTCGACCTGCCCATTTATCTGTTCTCTACATCTAAGGTCTAGGCCAGGGTCTACCTCGCAGTCGGGCTCTCTCTATTTGTTCAAGCGATGCGCCGTCGCATCTTCGGAGTTTGGCAGTCTCCTCCGTATCACATCTCGGGTCAAGGGCCTCTAATTCCGCCGTCGTGTTGCTTGTGCAGTATGCGTCGCATTACTCGACATAGAATCTAGATGTGGCGGAAAGATTCTATGCAATCAAACGCCTCATCTGGACTCACGTATCGACTGAGGAGTCTGAAGTCGGCACTCGATTGTTTATCGGAGTACCATCATGACATTCCTCAAACATATGGTGAATGTCACCCCCCTATGTCATACTGACCAGAATGAACAGAAGATGACCGAAGTTCGGTTCTTTTGACCCAAGAATGCAATCTCGAGTTCATCCCTGCGTGTATCATCCGAACACCCCAAGTGGCAAGTGTGCAAGGAACCGGGATCTGCAATTGGAAGAAGCAAGGAACTGAGCAGTCTCTGGTTAATTGCGTGTCCCTTGCTTCTATGCAGACGGCTGAATGGCGCCGTTATCATTTACGTCTTATCCTGTCATTCCCCTGTTGTCTACAGCCGAGTTGTGTAACCTATTCAAGGGGTCACAGGAGGCCGCAATCTAGGCCCTCTGGGCCTTCATTCTTGTCTTTTCTTGGGAGTTCGGACATGAGCGTATGTTGAAGCTGTTCGGCGACTCCATGTCACGTTTGCTACTTGCGACTCTGCACTGCGACTGTTGAGGGCCATGATGCAATTTCCCTTCTCGCGCGGGCATTTACCTATATATTGGTCGATGAAACTGTTGGCAATCCCTTGACCTGGTAGTACACCCATCCCAATGACTACATACCACTTTGTCATAAACTCGCTTTCTCTTCGTGACCAGTCTTTCCAATGACAGACCTCGAGCAGGGCTGTGTCCATGCAAAATACGATATCAAGACCGAGATCATTGAGATTCCGGGCGCCGTCAAGTCTACTTCCTCCTTTCAGAGATGGACCGTAGGGCTCTGTCGATTGGCAGGGGTAGAGACTCAAGGTATACAGCGAGTCGCAGTTGATTCGCGTCAACCTGCTGGTCGAGATGATTATACGCGAATCTTCCTACTCTGGCTGAACTCCTCCCTCACAGCCAACAACATCATCGTAGGCCTGTATGGGCCTTCATACTATGGCCTCGACTTAGGCACCGCATCCGTCTGTGGTGTCTTTGGGAGTATACTGGGAAGCATCGCGGTGGCCTATATGAGTACCTGGGGACCACGCAGCGGCCATCGCACATTGGTGGTAACGCGATACTTTCTCGGTTACTATCCAAGCAAGATCTGCTGCCTGCTCAACATGCTGACGATGCTGGGCTACGGCATGGTCAATTGCATTTTGGGTGGTCAGATCATCTTCACTATTTCCAATGGCCAGACGCCCGTCACCGTTGGCATTGTCGTCGTCGCCGTCCTGACCTGGTGCATTGCCACCTTCGGCATGAACCTTTTCCATCTCTGGTGCCGTTACGCCTGGGTCCTCTCGCTCTCCGTGCTCTGCATCATGATCGGCTGCGCAGGTCCAGCATTCGATTCCGCGGATCGTCTCTCCCCCGACCTGCCCCAGGACACATCCGCGCACCGCCTCTCCTTCTTCTCCCTCTGCTTCGCCTCC